TTTTAGCCAAGTACTTGTTTTACTGTCAGCTCGAAGGGCTTGAGTGAGTGTTGATTGAGCCTGTGTTGTGAGGATGTTATGGGATCGGGTTGCACGCTGCAGCATGTGGTACTGATTTGTGATATATGAGAGGCCGAGGGCCTGGTTTATTATGGCACGAGGTGGCTTGTGATTGTTATAAGTCCGAGGGCATGTTTGATTATGCCACGAGATGGCTTGTTATAGCGCTTGGGCTTTACGGAGCACCTCCCGGAGTCTGTACACCCCAGTGAGCGCGGGTACCCAGTGTGAGTGATGTAATGTAGCCCGAGGGGCTGTTGTTGTTTCATATTGCATGCCCGAGGAGCTGTTTTGATCAATGTTTTGCCCGAGGGGCGGTTCTTGATTCATATTATGCCCGAGGGGCTGATTTCGAGTGATTGTGAGGTAGCCCGAGGGGCTGGTTCTATTGATATTATGCCCGAGGGGCGGTTTATGATACATGATTTGCCCGAGGGGCTGTTTATGTTTTCTAACATTTTTACTCACTGTTTTATCACTCGTTTGAAACTATTGAAAGATGTTTTAAAAGGAAAAGGGTTTTTACGGAAACTGAGTTGTTTTTTTTACGAGAAAAAAAAAGGTTTCTTTACTGTTTTTTAGCAATGTACTGTATTTGTTGTAGTGTTATGACGTGGAATTATGTGCTTTCTTACTACTCAGCTTTCATTTACTTTTATTACTTACTGAGTTGGCGTACTCACATTACTCCCTGCACCTTGTGTGCAGATTCAGGTATTTCTGAACCCGGTTACGGGTGTTGATTGCTTGGTGGCAGAGTCATCGGAGTTAGCAAGGTACCTGCCCGACGTTCGCAGCGCTGCTCTTCTCCCTCTTGTCTTCCTTAGACTGTTTTTAGTATATTTTCTGACTCTTCGTTTTATTCAGACCTGAGTAGATGCTCGTGACATGTGACACCCCGATGTCGGACTTGTGTATTTATTCCGCACTGTTCATTTAGACTTATATTATGAGATTATTGATTAATTAATGGCTTAGAAATGACGTTATTGTATACTGGTTTGATTTGGGATTTGTGTCGGCTAGCCTAGTTTCACGATAGGCGTCATCACGACCGGGTCAGTTTTAGGGTCGTGACAAGTTGTGCAGTGGGCGCATGAATCCACATCAGAAATGAGAGGGGGAGTCCTGGCTATATTAGTAAGACTTGGACTTACATGTGCATAGTCCTTTTCCCCAGTGGGACAGGGGAAGAACAAAACCGTGAGGGTGGGACCCAAAGCGGACAATATATGCACAGTGTGGGCCCGGGTCGCTACATCACTACGACTTCCAGAGACAACTCGAGGGCAACATTCTTCGCCCTCTTATTCTTTCCCTTGACCGTGGCGGAACGCCTTCTTTTTTATTGCTTGTTCACTAGTCGAGGACTCCTAAAAGAAACACTTGCACCCGAAGCAGGCCCAGAGACACCTATTCGAGCAAGTGCCTCCTGATGCAGCCTCGCCGCATCAGCAGGATCAGCTAAAATGTCCTCCTCGGTGACGACAATCGAGCCCTGGGGTTGACTTGAATTCTGCAAAGATAGAAAGGATTAATCAATTTCCTCACACAAAAAGCAAAGACGAGATGAGTCTAAGTTCCCATGATTTTTGGCCTTCCATCCGTATATAAGGGCCAGTTCTTTCCACATGCGGGTTTCAGGCATAGTGACGTCCAAGATTTTCTAGGCCCATTAGTCTAAGCCTTCAACTCTAGGTGGAACCCATCGAGTTGCTGGAACAGGCGAAAGAAGGAGGGTCAATAAGGATATGAGAAGATTTCTAATGAAAGAAATATTAAACAAGGAGCTTACGAGTGTTGTCCTTGATTCCGGAAAGGATGAAGCCGTTATTGGTGGCTACAACGAACTGTTCCATCCACCCACAGTTGTTGTCATCATCCATGCTTGCTAATAGAGCATGGTGGCCGCGTTTGCTGAAGTTTATCATTCCCTCGCTGAAGATTTTAGGGAAATAGAGGTTCATCACGTAAGCTAGGGATAGCTCCTCCCCCGTTTCTTGGCACAAGCGCCGAAGACAAGCAATCGTCCTTCACACGGAAGGACTTACTTGAGCCAAACACACCTGGTAGCGGAGACAGAACTCCGCAATAACGGAGTCAAGCTCTCCACACAGAGAAAACACTCTCAAAGTAAAGGGATACATGTAAAAGTTTGTAAAACCCTCCTTGGTAAGGTTACCCGCTCTGGCAGATCAGGAGCGATAATATCTAAATCTTGGCAACGACAATCTTCCGTCATAGCAGGAATACTGGAAGGACGAATGGAAGAAGGGTACCTGCCAATGGCCCATGTACGAGGGTTAGCAGAAGGAAACTTCTCTTCAAAATCTTTGGTGGTAACCAGGTCCTTTGGGACGATGGTACTCATCGTAGGGGGAGCGACATCATCAGCTTTGCCTTAGTTCTTTGAAGAACTTGGTTTTCTTGAAGAGAAGGCCATTTCTTATTAGAGGAAGAGTTTTTGTCTCTCAAAGAAGGAAGTTAAAGAAAGGTTGAAGTCGAAAGATGAGTTGAGTAAAGAAAGTCTTAGAAAATTCAGAGTGTTATTAAGGAAGTTGATGCGTATAAGTAAGGGTTTATGCGGCTAAACTCGTGACCATAAATACCTCGACAGCCAGCAAAAGTTATGTTGAATCGTGGGATGACACGTGTTCGTGGCATTAAATATGAAGAGACGTGTGTGTTTAGCTTAAAAAGTTAATGAACAATGTTTAAGCAAATCAATAAAATATATAGAGAAGAGGTAAATCGTAATCAAAGATAATCGACACTAGAGTATGAGTAATCCTTTGTGGTTTGGTGATTCAGAGCAGTTAAAGGACATAGTTGCGTGATAATGTTACAAAGATCTGAGGTATCTGTTTTTCAGAGAGAGAAAGAGATAGAAATTGAGACAGAGAAATAGAGAGAGTAAGTAGCAATGTTATTGATCCAAAAATTCCTCCCCCTTACACAGTTGGGAACCCCCCTTATATAGCGGAGGGATTTCCCCTTTTTCTTCTATTTACCATATAAAGATAAAATAGGTAAACTAAAGATATAGTACACGTTACAGAGGGGCTGACGTGATTACGTGGTCGTCCCTTGGGCCCAACCTTTGTCCACATGATAGGTCGTGTCCATTTGGAGGACGGGGTTGGTCAAACTCGACCCTATACAGTGTGTCTAATCAACCGTCAGAAGCTTTTCAGAGGGGGTCAGTGAAAGTCTGGCCAAAAAGAATATTTCTACCAACTTTCTGGTGACACAAAGTTATATCACCGGAAAGCAGGGGGGCTATCTGTATAGGGTAAAATATGTTATGTTAAATGATTGTATAAGGAAGTGATACGTGGAGCCGAATGCAGAGGATAGCTAAAACCGAGGACAACTATTCCATCTGTTACCGGAAAGAATGGTGCTCATAAAGATGAAATAAATGCCTACCATTCGGTAGCATTTAATGGAGAATATTTTATAGCATTTAGTACACTGCCCGTCATAGAGAATTTGTCATTCATGCCCACCGTTACACATTCTTCAACGGCCCTCATAATTGACATTAAAAAGGGTAAGATCCTAGGACCTTGTTCCCTAGGTACATCTATAAATAGTGAGCTCTATTATTATTGTAAGGGACACGAATTTTCTGGCAAACTTATGATGTAATCTGTTCAAAGCTTTATATAATTTTATCTTCTTGTTTTTTGATTTCATTGTTGTTGTACCCGGAAGCCCTACTCCCGGAACTACTGTTTCTGCTGTTTCATTTTCATCTTAAGGCTAAGTATTGCATATTTATTCAATTCTTCTATTATTTCAGGATCGAATTAATTCACTTGTCTAGAAACCACATATAAATTCAACTGTACCGTTTTACGGGTAAATAATTTATAATGCCATTAATTCTTCTCTTGTTCTAAACGATCGGCCTGTTGAATTCTTCTTTAACTCCAACCATACTATAAAAAAAATCGGGGAAATCTGTTTGACTTCTATTGCTTTGTAAAGATTCTTTCATTATCTTTCTGACATGTAGGTATGTAGATGTAACCTCGATCATTGCATAAGGATAATCCCTTATATATAGATGTTTGCTGAGACTTGGAGTGGGTGATTTTCCTTTCCTTTCTTCAACATCGATCCTTGGTTCCCAGCAAAAGACCAAGAAGATCAACTCAAAACTTTTTCAGATATATTAGGGAAAGACAAAGATCATTTAAACCATTAAGTATTAATTTGCATATATCATTATTAATTTTTATATATTCTTGCATAGGAGCCATTAAGGTATAGAAATCCAAAGCTAATTAAACTAAAAGAGAAATTCCAACTTGTGAGTAACAACTTTTCTTTTAGACCAAATACATAGACAAGCCATTAAACTTGGCTCATTTTTTCATTTTGGCACTTTAACTCAGTCTTGTTCCATTTTGACCATCCAACTCCATTTCTTTTGTTCCACTTTAACACAAAAGCTGACTAGATTCCATGTGTGATTTGCCTCGCCCTTGTAGTCGCGTGTGATTTTTTAAGCCAAATTTCATACTCCCAACGCAGAGGCGGATCCGGGTCAATTTTAATATTTTTAACATTGAACCCGTTATATTTTTAAAGTTATGGGTTCATATCTATTATTTTTGCAATTTTAATGAATTTTTACATACAAATTTTTACTCCGCGTCAAAAGTTGTGGATTCAGTTGAACCAGTAGTTATTACTGAAAATATATTAAAATAAATATTTTTTCCCCGGAAGAGGGGCAGAAAAATGGAAAAAATAATAATCTGAAATTACAAAAAAAAAAAGCAAATTTTTTTGGGGGGGAGGGGGGGTGTGCGGTGGGGGTGGGGGTAGCAGCTGGATATTTGCACGCGCTGCGTTCTTATCTGGGATAAAAAAAATTGTGTTAAAGTGAAACAAAAAAAATAAAGTTGAAGGGCCAACATGGAACAAGATTGAGTTGAAGTGCCAAAATGAAAAATTAAGTCAAATTTAATGGTCTGTCTATGTATTTGGCCTTTCTTTTATTTATCCATGTAGCACATTTAATTACACGTGTCAAATGCATAACATGACTAACTGGAAAGTAGACAGAAATTATTAAAATGTATCAAGTTGGACGTATATTGATCAGCAGCAAGAAGAGAGGAACATCCGCATCAGGAAAGTAAATCTGTTGAAGGGATTCCCGCAGATTGAAGCTACTCGTCCCTTTGAAAAATTGCAAGTTAGAGTCACCTTCTTCTCCAGCACACTTATCAATACAGATTCCGTTTCTCCTGTAGTTTAATCATCATCCATCTGTTAAATAAATACTAGCTATACAAATTGATTCCTCCGTGTTTGTCTAAATCAAATCTGATACTCACTCCGTTCCAATTTATGTGAACCTATTTGATTGGACACGGAGTTTAAAAAAAATGAAGTCTTTTGGAATATGTGGTCCTAAACAAGTCAAAAAGGGGGTCAGTATTTGTGTGGTTATAAAAGCTTTTCATTAAGGGTAGAATTGTAAGTTTAAGCTAAATTGTTACCAAATTTAGAAAAGGTTCATTCTTTTTGGAACGGACCAAAAAGGAAATAGGGTTTATAACCACACAAATAATCTGAGCTTCTTTTTGACTTCTTTAGGACAACAAATTCCAAAAGTCTTTCATTTTATCTTAAACTCCGTGCCCAGTCAAACAGGATCACATAAATTGATACGGAGGTAGTAATATACAAGTAAAGTCACAACATTCTAAGGTGGGAAATTGGGGCAGTGACTCCTTGTGACCTAGTTCGTAATCTCCTGTTGAGAGCAAGTTTTGAATTTAAAATGTTGGCAGCATACTAAGTTGCAAATTTCATTTGGCCTGAACAAGCATAAATAGACCAGCTAAAATAGCCCGTATAACAGAAAAAGGGATCATTAGTCAAGCTAAACAAATAAGGTAAGGCTTGAACTGACGCTGCTACTACCCGTTTAAGAGCCATTAATTAGTCGAAAGTTAAATTTTTTATTTATATAAATTTGTTATTTTTATGGCTGCAAGTAGAACTAAAATTAATGTTGGTGCTTTCCTGGGAAATATAGAAAGGGGGCTAAAAATTTCCAAAACCAATGGGACCAAAGGAAAAAGCAAACAAGCAATAGAAAGTTCGTTTGACAAAAGGACATCATATCCAACGCTTTGTGCCAAAAGAGTGATTGATTCCTTGAAAATTGGGGAATTCAACAAAGCAATAGAATCCAATGCAAACCCAGTGGTCCAAAAAAGCAAGTTGTATGAACAGTGACTTGTCGTCAACAAAGGAGGAGGATATTTTTACATGTACTACTACCCGTTAAGACAGAATTTTAGTTGGAAAAGCTCCACTTAGAATGATCATGATTCATGACTAACGTATATAACTTCAGCCCACTTTTGTTAAAATTCTCATGTGGGCCCCTCAAAAGCTGAAATGATGTGCACTGCAACCATCCTAAACTTTGCACCATATATGGTAGCTAAGGATATCACTCGATGTCTGTTACGGATCAGTAATTAACAAGAAAGGAAGATTTTTACCTTTTTTAGACTTGTACTAGGGATGAAACTCTCATACTATATAAAAGGAAAATTTTTCTTTTGTAACACACCTTGTAACACGCGAATCAAAATAATACAAATTCATTTTCTGCTTTCTAGCTACTGCAAAAGCTCTTATTTAATTGTTGTGTTCTTCATTCACCACTGCTTTCAAAGAATTATTATGGCTTTTATATATGTAGACGATGATATGTAACCAAAAAATACAAATGGATCTTATATAAGACAGGAGGAAAGAGAATTTACCATTCATCCTTGACATTACTTCTGCAACCCTCTGCTGGCACTTGGTGCATCGGTAGTCCGCCAAGAACACAATTTCCTGCACCTGCATGCCTCAGATTAACAATATTTCTACAAAATGTTATTGGCTGAATTAAGGAGAATATAGAAATTAACTTACAAGTGGTACGGACAAGGATTCAATAGAAGCCAGAGTAACTCGAGAATTTGCTGACAACCTATTCTTCTTCCGATCAACAAACTGCATTTTTTTTCCCCTGCAATCGCTTTGAACAACTATTCTCTCCACATGGTATACAACAAATGGAGTTTGCGTGAAAATGGAGCTGGTTTGTGACAAGGATTTATGAACAGCTCTCACCACAATGATAGCCAAGTCTTATCTTCCCAGATATTTTTGTGTAATGGGAGAAAACACCGTTACAATTAAGGCGGAAAAGGTCTTTGAGTTGACAAACAACGGTTTCATTCCTAGTAGCACCCCACTATGGTTTGAGTTGAACTTTCTTTATTGCACTAAACTAAGGTCGCTTAAAAGACAAATTCTCTATCTCCCCACCCCCACACACACCCTGTTGTCCAGCATTATTTAGTTCCCATTATCCAATCAGGTCTTTTCGAGTTTATGTAAAATTATTTAACCCCACAGCTGGCTTATATCTCCTTACCTTGCATGCTGATCGTGATTGATCAGTGATAATAGGCTATATAAACGCTATTTACACTCTAAATGTACCATACTTTATTGTTGTTTTAAAGGCTAAATGATAACAAAATACACTAATTGGTGTTCTTTTGCTTCGCAGGGACTAATCCAAGTTAAGAAGAGACAATGCAGTATTTTGGAGTCAAAAATGTTGATAAAAGGCCAATCAAGAAAAACCCAAACGAAAATAAGCAAGAAAGAGGCAAAGGAGGACTGGGCAAGGTGCCACCGCGACCACGGTCGACCGTGGCTGGACCGCGGCAGGCCAAGCAAGTGAGGCAGAATAGTTATGTTTCACCGTGGTCGCGCCGCGTTCTGCCGCGGCCGCGGTCGACTGTGTAACTGCCCATAAATTTGGGACTAAAGTGTAAATCCGGGGAAACTTATCCTAACCCTTTATAAACTCAACAAACTCGCCCAAGCAAAGGTTAAGCTTGTTTTTAGACTGAATTGGAGGCAAGAACAAGTGTGAGAAGAGCAATCAACCATTAGAGTTTTTCAATATTCTCTTTGTTATCTTATTTTGCACATTATGAATACTTTAGTGATTTTATCTTGCTTTGTTATGAGTAGCTAAATACTTTGTCTAGGGTTTTGATGGAACCTATTGAAGGATGAACTTCGTGTTATGTTAATATAGTTGCCTGATTTATTCTCTATTCGTTCAACTACGTTCTTGTTGTAGTTAATTGGTAGGATCCTCAATTAGCTATGCTTATTCAGTATGTATTACTCGGAAGAGAGTGCATAATTAGGTAATTGTTGAACAACACCACTCCCAAAGTATATGAGGGATCAATAACTGAAGGTTTAAAGGCGGGATTAGGGATAACGAAGCCTTGGGTGCAATCAAAAGTGAGCTGTAATAAAAGCCAGCTAGCGTAACTCGGGAGAGTGCGTCTAGTAAATTGTCGTGATTACTCGGGAGAGATTTACGTAATAAGAGTGCTCATGATCGATAGAGACGGTTAGGCAAATCTATATGAAACATAACAGGAAGGGATTCCATCAATAGGGGAAATCATAACCTTAGATCCTTCTCTTATTTGTTTACAACTCAACCATAGTTAGCTGTTAGTTTACTTGCTTATATTCAGTTATAGTTAGTTAAACCACCACCAATTGTTATTTAAATATCTAGGAAGTTGATTACAAAGAATTTAGTGAGTCTAACAAAAGTAATTGGTAGGTTAATTCTCTGAGGATTCGGCTCTGGGCTAAATACTCAGATTATATTTGCAGCGACCGCTTGTCCTTTTTATAAGGCATAGTTGAGCGTGATCAAATTTTGGCGCCGTTGCCGGGGAATTAACGGTGTTATCAATTACAATTGAAAGAAGTACAAAAATTCTTAGTGTAGTCAGTTTTCTTTACTTCCAATCTTTACATTGAAAATTTTAACGTTTTTGACTTGGTTGTACAGGTGCATGCCTAGAAACTCATCGAGAACTGGTGAAGTATTTGAAGTATTATTAGATCCCGAGAAAGTTTTCAAGGCCTTGAACCGGGCCAACCGGAAAAACAAACAACTGAACAATTCGAACCAGGCATGGGGGACAACGTGGTAGACCCAGCTGTGCCTGTACCGCCAGTGGAACCTCTTGTGCCAGAGGCTGCTCTATATGACTGGGCACAACCCACAGTAGAGAATTTGGCCACAGCGATTTTAGTCCCGCAGATACAGGCTGAATCGTTTCAAATCACGAACAACATACTGCACTTGTTGCAAAATAAGGGACTATTTTCAGGGTCACAAATCGAAGATCCTCAACAGCACTTGAAGAATTTTCTGTCAATCTGCAAAACTCAAAGGCGGCCCAACGTAACTCAGGAAGCAATAAAGCTGTTGTTGTTTCCATTCTCAGTGACAGGAGCTGCCCAGACTTGGCTAAACTCACTCCCCATTAATTCCATAACGACTTGGGAGGAGTTAGTCAAGCAATTTGTGAACAAGTTTCATCCACCGAACAAGACTGCTCAACAAATTGATGAAATTTTAAGTTTCAAACAGAAATCAATGGAGACACTGCAATAAACATGGGAACGATTAAAAGGGATGTTGGTTATATGTCCGCACCACGGTATTCCAGATCAGATGTTGGGGCAGAGGTTTTACATGGGTTTGGCAGATAGCGTGAAGGGTAATGTTGATGCTTCAGCTGGTGGAGCATTTTTGAGCAAAACATGGAGAGAAAGCCAGAGTCTGCTTGACAAGATGGCACAGAATTCGGAGTGGACAACGAGGAATGCACCTACCACTCCAGTAGTTCACTCAGTGCCCTTAGATCCATCCAACACTCTTGCTAAAAACATGGCCATATTAATGACACAGATGAGTCTACTCACCAAAAAGGTGGAAGAATCAGGGCAGAAGCAAAGGAAGTGTCAGAGATCCACCTGAATGAACCTCAGAGGTCGAGCGAGCCTTAAATGCGCTTATCTGCGTCGTGCCGCGACCTTAAATCAGGCGCTGCGTGGGAGGCAACCCATGAATGTTGTTGTTGTTCTTTTCTTTTGTAACTTCCTTATGAAAACAAAAAAAACCAAAAAAAAAAAAAAAGCTCGTCACCGCGAACGCGGTTGGACCGTGGCGCGACTGCGGTAAAAGAAGAGTATTCTGCCTCAGGAATGCTCGATTCACCGCAACCGCGATGGGACCGCGGCACGACCGCGGTGAAACACGATGATTCTGTTTCTCGCCCCTTCACTCACCGCGGCCGCGGTGGGACCGCGGTGAGTCGCGACTTTACTGTCGCCCAGGTAAGTGAGACTTATTTTTTTATTTTTTATTTTCTTTCTTTTCTTTTCTAATTCACCCCCCCCCTCCCCTTTAGAAAAAACTAAAACACCCCACGATTCCTATTTTCCCCTTCTCCTCTAACACGATCAACCCTAACCAATCTCTCTCTCTCTTTTTTCTTCTTCTTCTCCACCTCTCTCACACTCACACCCACACCCCACCCACTTTCCACTCTCTCTTCCCCAACTCCCATTCCTCTCACCCTCTACTAGAACCAGGTATGTCAAGCTTCCCTCTCTCTTCTCTTATATTTTTGTTTTAGTATTTTGCAAGTATATTGCCTTAATTGTTGTAGTATTTCTAGTAGATTTTTCTTTCTTTTGATTAACTTTTTTGCTTTTTAGTGGGTTATGTGCACAATGTTGTAGAGAAGAGTGTAATTTTATTGGGTAAACATTAATTGTGGTGGGGTGGAATGGTAAGTGAGAATGGTTGATTTGGAGGGATGAGTTTATGTTTTCACGGGGCTAGGTGTGTTAGAATAGAGCCCTTGCTCACAAGGTGTTTTTGAAATTGCCCCAGTGGAGTTGTAATGGCTAATGTGACCATGGGGGTGGTGAAGTCTGAGTAACCACCTCGGGTTCACACAACTCAAACTCTCACTAATGGGAGCCTCTATTTTTGGCAGGTATAATGCATCAATCCAGGAAGAGACGTAGCACAGGGTCCTCCGCTAGTGGACTGTGCAGTTCTTCTAGAGCTCGGGGTCAAGCTAGTGCGGAACACTTTGACCGCGCTAGATTTGTCTCCAAACCAGCCGAGGACAGGTATAACGCCAAGGCATCCAAGAAATTGTTACCTGAAGTACATATTGACCGGCAAGCCTTGCAAGTGGAATGCCCAAGTATCTTTGCAGAGTTGAGGAGGTGTCAGCTAGACATGCTCTTTGATGAACCGGAGGAGGTGAATCTACTGATGGTAAGGGAGTTCTACGCGAACTGCCTGGAGCATGTTAATAGGGTGGTCACAGTACGAAACACCCGAGTAAATGCGTCCCTTGAGGCCATCCGCCGAGTGTACCGGCTGCCAGTATTCACTGGGGATACATATCATTACCTTGTTTATCACCACCCAAATGTCTGGTGGGCATAGATTCTTGAAACAATATGTATGCCAGACAGGGAGTATATATGGATAAAGCACCGGATCACACTGAACTCCCAGTCTCTCAGTTGGGAGGCTAAGTGTTGGCTCACAATTATCAACAGCCGGTTGCTGCCCTCCAGCAACGCTACCAATGTCAATGGGCCACGAGCAGCAGCTATCTACTGTTTTATGACCCACCATGATTTTGATGTCGCCAAGCTCCTTCATGATGAGATGTTCATTCGCTCCCCAGAAGTACTCAAAGGGTTTTACTTCCCCTCTCTGGTTACCAAGCTGTGTCGTGCTACACGAGTCCCTGAAAATTCCAGAGTAGATGGGAAATTGCCATTTAAAGCCCCATTCCGGGCTAGCAAAATCACAGTTGGGAGAGAGCCGGTAGTGGTGGTTGATGATGATGATGATGCTGATGAGGATGCTGAGGACGCTGCAGCCCCACCACAGCCAAGAGCTGATGAGGCGGGCCCATCACAGGCCCGCCGAAGTACCCGCTTGACAGCCCTGGAGCAAGAAATGGCGGGCCTTCGCACTTCGGTCACTAGGGGTGTTCATAAAAACCCAAAAAATCGAACCAACCAAAAACCAAACCAAACCGACCAAAAAAATCGATACTTTTTTGTTTGGTTTGGTTTTGGTTTTGAATTTTAAAAACCGATCAAATTTGATTTGGTTTTGGTTTTAATCAAAAAATAACCGAAAAAAACCGAACCAAACCGACTATAAGAGTAGCTATTTCAAATTTATTATTACACCCCTATATATATGTATATTTTTATACAAAGTTTCAAAATTTTTATGGTGAATGTTAATTATTTGCACTTTTAGTACAGTTTTTTACCTTTATATTCTAGTTTGATTGGTAGTTTTCTTTTATTAAGTGTAAGAATCCATTTCATGTTAAAAAAATATTTTTAATTGAGTCCTTAAATTATTCATCACCATTTTATTTAATTATCATCAATATATTTTAGTAAATAATAGATTTCTCAAAGGACAATTGATTT